CTTCTGTTTTCTGCTCATTAAAATGTAAAAAGTTCAAAACCATCCAGGCCCTTATCTTTTTAAGTGGGAAATAAATCTGGGAGTCATCAGCATAACAGTGGAAAGAAATCCCATGTTTCCTGAAAATAGACCCAAGGGGTAGGAGATATAGGGAAAAAAGAAGCGGGCCTAAAACTGAACCCTGTGGGACCCCACATTGAAGAGAAGCAGCAGAGGATACAAACTCATCGAGTTCACAGAGAAAGTTCGCTCTTCCAAATAGGATCTGAGCCACTGCAGTGCGGTACTCCTAACACCCACCAACTGCTCTAAACAGGAAATTAAAATATTATGATCCACTGTATCAAAAGCAGCAGTTAAATCTAAAAGCACGATAATAACACAGTCACCTGAGTCAGTTGCTAAAAACACATCATTAAAAACTCTTAAAAGGGCAGATTCGGTACTATGTAGAGCTCTAAAACCAGACTGGAAAACTTCTAAAATACCGTGTTCTTCTAAAAAGGACATTAATTGCTTGTAAACTACCTTTTCGAGAATTTTTGTTATAAATTCAGTTTGGAAATAGGTCTGTAATTTGCAATAATATCAGGATCAAGAGCAGGTTTCTTGAGTAGAGGCTGAATCACTGCATGTTTAAGATTGACAGGTACAACACCAGAGGAAAGACTGCTATTTACAATGGATTGTACAACTAGCGCTATAGTTAGAAAAACCTCTTTGAACAATCGAGGACGAAGAGCATCATAAGGGGAGCCTGAGGGCTTCAGGTGAGAAACCAACTCCTGCAGGCAGAGCAAAGAAACTGGCTCAAACCTGTCAAAGACAGCAGAGCTAGGGACAGGGGTAGAAGGGTCGATAATGGACTGGGAATCTGCGCTTTGACAGATAGCACTTTATCAATAAAGAAGCGTAGGAAGTTTTCACAAATTTCCTGAGAGGACTCGACACCAACAGTCTGTGGAGCATGAAGGACCCTGTCAATAGTCTTAAATAAGATGTGAGGCTTACGACAATTTGACTGAATAATAGCAGCAAAATGTTTCCTCTTAGCATCTTTTACAGTCTCCTGATAGGAATTCCAGTAGTTTTGTAATATTTGGTATGACACCTGAAATTGATCCTTCTTCCATTTGCGTTCAGCTCTCCTACACTTTCTTCTGGCAGCACGGGTGTCTTCATTCAGCCAGGGTTCAAATTTGGCTTTAACTTGCCTACAGGTAGAGACAGGTAGATTGTGAGTTAAAACAAGATCCAACGTGTGCCCCTATTTTTGTGTAGGCACAGACACAGGTTGCACAGGATCAAAAGAGTCAATAAGATTTAAAAAAGTCCTTTGCCATTGGCTTGTCAGGGCAGCACACGTGAATATTGAAGCCCCCAATAATAAGGACATGATCATATTTTGGCACAATTTCAGCCAACAGATCATAAAAGTCATTTAAGAAGTTCTTATTGTATTTTGGAGGTCTGTAAACCACAGCACAGAGCACTGTGTGAGAGCGGCCTAGCTCAAACACACTCAGTTCAAAGCTACTAGGTGATGTTGATAAGG